GAGTGTCTTATACTAAAGATGAATTACCGAAGTTATCAACAGACGGTGTATATCGGATAAATTTCTTATGCGGTAAGTGTTATATTGGACAGACGGGATGTAACATTAGCGTAGGACTAAAATAACACCATTAGAACATTAAATTCTCCCAAACACAGCTGTCAGCAGTGGTCGAGCATGCTTCCCAACAAGATCATTCAATTTATTTTGATAACGTTGAAGTGTTATGCAGAACTAATTATAACTGGCCGAGACTAGTTAGAGAATCAATCGAAATTGAGAAGAATTCAAATAATTTCAACGGCTGTGACAGTTACTAATAATACGCTTCCAGCGCAGCCTGGAAGCGTATTATTAAGTAACTAGCCTTTTTCCCGTCCAAGGACGGGTGTATTGCAGTAATTCAGAAACTTGCAAACGAAAATCAGACCGCGACGTGATATTCATTGCATCAATTCGTGTGCAATTTGTAAGGGCGCGGTGACACAGACCTATTTCATTTTAAGGTTATAATCCCTTGTTCATCATGACGTCCTTTTTACTTCAATGTCTCAACAACAGCGTTACGGAGATCACGTGACGTGAGGGTTCTGCCTTTGTAGTGAGGGTTGTCAGTTGGCGCCGAGGAGGGGGGAGGAGGCCCCTTGTTCCGTCCATTTGGAGGACGTAACCTGTTCATGATTATTAATGAGGGGGGAGGGTACTACATGTGGAGTGACCTCACCTGCTCATGATTATTAATGAGGGGGGATCCATGTGGAGGACGTAACCTGTTCATGATTATTAATGAGGGGGGCTGGTTGACCTGAAGTAACGTCACGAGCGTTAAGGACATTCCTGTGTGATTATAGTAGGTGTACACAACACATATTGCAGTTCCTTCAGGTGAGTCACATGCTAAGTGGCCGATTACGGATCTATTACATAATTGCATACACCCCCACCTCCACCTTTGATCTCGAAACCTGGTGGGGTTCAACAACGATGACGTCATTCTGCACTATTTAAGACTGGAAGCAGGTGGATGGCCTCACTATTCTGGCAAATCGCCTGAAGATGCTGGATGTAATATCCAGCGAAACGTCGTACTACTCAAATTGTAAATGTTGTGGATTCACTCTTCAACACACTGGTGGGCTAAAGTAGTGAACTATTTGTCTTTTGTCAACGTGACACATTTTTTACTAATTCGCCGTGTCGGATGGTGGAGGACTGTGACACATTTATAAATAACGCGATCTAACCCAAAAACCCTTATTATCAATAATACTGGTCGCAAAAGCCTACCTGTTAAACTGAATTTTCACCAATATAGCTGCATTTTTTAAAAGCCTTCATATGCTGGTGAATTTAGCTTTACTTTCTTTTGCAGTTTTTTTTTGTAAAAAAACACAGGGAAAAGTCTGGCCTTCAAATAACTTGTAAAGTTTATCACAATTGTTCTTCTTTAAAATGCGTGGCGTCTGCTTATAATAGCCAATGGCAATTGCGACGGACACATGGAAAGGTGAGTGTGTATTCGTACATGTAGTGTTAAATGACAATATTTCATGAAGGCCGGCACTCCGTTGGGCAACACAGCTCATTGAGCAGATCAATAATAATGTCTGTGTTTTAACAAGAACCTCACATAGTGAGTAGCACCTATAACCTATTGTGCTTGCCTTGCTTCTAGGATAGGTACCAACCACCCCATTGAATACTGATGTAAATCATCAGAAGGATTATAATACAAAATGGCACTTTACTCCCACTATTCTGAGCTCCCGGAACACTTGAAGGCGTGAGTTGTTGCACTGCACAGAGGGGGAACATGTGCACACAGGAGCTATTGCAAGGATTGCCTGTGCAATGTATTCCTTCTCAATAAGTCCTCATCACAGACGCGTCTCGTACATTTAATGGCCTTAAATGATACTCCACACCCTTCCACACAGCAAACAATGCATGCTCCAATTATGTGCGGCACTGACCGTTGACCCAACAAGGAGGTTAGCAATCATTGGTCTTGAGATCAATACTACACACATGGAGACGGTTGAACGCATTTAACCAGAAACGTGGGTGGGTAGGGACATCTCATACCACTAATCAAGTCACTCTGAATTACACAGCACTAAAGTAAATATATAAATCACTATTCCAGACCTCTGTTAGCAGCCAGACTTCTTCCCCCCCACCCCCCATCAAGGCACATTTCTCCACCAGCTATATTTCGTATACCCTATCGGTTTCATGGCACGAGATGAAGACAAACTCCATCTGAAACTCTGGCAGCTAGTATTGCACCATCCTTTGTCTGAGAACATCCACGAAAGATTATATCAGAGACCTGCGTCTTCTCAAGTCCCTTCAGTCGGCTTCTTTACACGCACATGGGGGGGCTATAACCTCTTGTGTGACCTCCTCATATCACGTCAGTCAAAACTGTAATGAGCCAAATAAAGTGAAAACCAAATACAATATGATGCACTTTGTTTGGTGTAACCATTTGTGGCAGGGCAGAGACTGTGAACTTGGTACAGTTGAAATTCCAGTTCAAGCCACCGGCGACTGAACCCAGATCCATCCCCAGGAGCGGCGACTGAACCCAGATGCATCCCTAGGAGTGGCGGAGACTGAACTCAGATCCATCCCCAGGAGTGGCGACTGAACTCAGATCCATCCCCAGGAGTGGCGACTGAACCAAGATTCATCCCCAGGAGTGGCGGAGACTGAACCCAGATCCATCCCCAGGAGTGGCGACTGAACCCAGATCCATCCCCAGGAGCGGAGACTGAACCCAGATCCATCCCCAGGAGTGGCGACTGAACCCAGATCCATCCTCAGGAGCAGCGACTGAACCCAGATGCATCCCTAGGAGTGGCGGAGACTGAACCCAGATCCATCCCCAGGAGTGGCGACTGAACTCAGATCCATCCTCAGGAGTGGCGACTGAACCAAGATTCATCCCCAGGAGTGGCGGAGACTGAACCCAGATCCATCCCCAGGAGCGGAGACTGAACCCAGATCCATCCCCAGGAGTGGCAACTGAACCCAGATTCATCCCCAGGAGTGGCGACTGAACCCAGATTCATCCCCAGGAGTGGCGACTGAACCCAGATCCATCCCCAGGAGCGACGACTGAACTCAGATTCATCCCTAGGAGTGGCGGAGACTGAACCCAGATTCATCCCCAGGAGTGGCGACTGAACCCAGATCCATCCCCAGGAGTGGCGACTGAACCCAGATCCATCCCCAGGAGCGGCGGCTGAACTCAGATTCATCCCTAGGAGTGGCGGAGACTGAAGCCAGATCCATCCCCAGGAGTGGCGACTGAACCCAGATCCATCCCCAGGAGTGGCAACTGAACCAAGATTCATCCCCAGGAGCGGAGACTGAAACCCAGATCCATCCCTAGGAGTGGCGGAGACTGAAGCCAGATCCATCCCCAGGAGTGGCGACTGAACCCAGATTCATCCCTAGGAGTGGCGGAGACTGAAGCCAGATCCATCCCCAGGAGTGGCAACTGAACCCAGATTCATCCTCAGGAGCGAAGACTGAAACCCAGATCCATCCCAGGAGTTCAGCTCAGTGCTTTGACCCCGAGCAATCCGACAAGCTGACAAATACACATTTTAACAACCTTTATTGACATTAAACAATGTTCTAAATGTTAAACTATTATATTAAACAATTTGACACATTTTTATATAGGTTATGAATACGCCTTCATTTGGTTCTGAAAACAGAAGATAGAAGACGAAGAGAGAGAATCCACAATTGGTGACAATTGTCCTTCGTATATTATAGGTCAGAAATCACAAAGCGAAATTTCACAGCTTCATCCCCTGGTGAGATAATGTATATCCACGACCTCTTCATCATTATGTGCTCGCGTGTGAAATTAATCCGAGTAGTCAACATGCCACATGGAGGTACAGCGCCGTGATATATACTTGCCTCATGAGGCTTGCATTTTCAGTTCTACATGAAAGCTTAAGCTATTTTACTCAACAAAACTACCAGATTTAATGCACACTAAAGCGATGTGTCGAGTGAAGTATAACGTTTAATACTGTGCTATTGTTTTGGATAGTATAGTTTCTGTGCCATCGTCTCTGGTGTGGTTACATAACAGATGGCTTGTGAAAATGTTTTATGATGAATCTAGTGAGCGTAATATTGTAAAATGTAATTTTACCTTTTTCATACCCCGGTCCCTCGATGCGAATGCAAACAGTCATACTGAAATTAATCTACATCACAGAATTTGTTCTCGTGGAAAGTGGAGAGGCATGACGTGTCACGGAGCGCATTGAAATCCTTGGCTTATCTCGCTACTTACTTTAAAATTAAATACAATTCAAGTCTAATCCACTTGCTCACAAACCACATGTCATACTGATGCCTTGCGGGGGGCAGGGCAGAGACAGCTCTAAGTTCCATGGAGGAAGAGCCCCCAGACCCCAATAATTCTCTATCCTGGATATTTTGCCAGAAATATTATATTTCGAATTTAAGTCATTTCATAATTCCAACAAATGCCAAAGGCATCATATAAATACAGTAAACATTTAACACCTTGCCCTTCTGAGCAGCAAATCATTTGTTGCCCGAGTTGTTTCACTTCAAAATAAAAAAAACGACAGCACAATCAATTCACCAGATCGAGGCTCAACGAGAAAGAATTAATTTCGTTGTAAAAGTGACTTGTCGAATTTATAGGACACATGCTGCTCGGGCAATATGAAAGCCAGTTAACTAAATCTTCATTGTTATTGTTTTTTGCGTGTGGCAATTTATAAGCACCCAACCATCAATGGTTTGAGCAAGAAATTGCAGGGGTGCACCTTTACATATATATATAAACATAAGTTCTAAACAAAAACATATTATTATCTTGTGATCACTGAATGTGTGTGTGTGAGGACTCGGCAATGGATGGACACATTCTTCTGGATACAATAAGGCTGCTCTACTTTGCACACCCCAGAAACTCACGTGGCTTGAGCACTCACTTGCACTGAGAGATGGCAGAGACCCAAGCTTCACAGTCTGCTTCGTCCTCTGCACACAGCTCCAGAGCCCTCTGCCCATCGTGCCCGAAGTGCACTGTGAAGTAATACTGCGAGCGGGCAAACATCATGAGAGAGAAATAAAACGTACATCAACGTTAGAGCACCGAGGCATAGCGAGAAAAAAAACGATCATTCAATAGATGTTTAACATACCGTTATCATCATCATTAGCCATAATCAAGCCATTGTTGAATGAAGGCTTGCCGAAGCTATCAACAATTTTCGGTAACCAGTGGCAAAGTTATGAATGTCAACTAATTTAGTAAATATATTTGTCTGGTTACTGCCAAAGGAACATTTCAGTATATTGTGAGCAATTAGTACACTTTTATATATATTTGATGTTATGACAAATATTGGTACATTTCTGTAGAATTGGTGTTCTCATTGACTGCTGGGTAGATAGAGGGAGGGGGATTTAATAAACCTGCAACATTATTTCAGCTGTCATTATAGGAGATATAATCGATCGAGCTACCTCTACATTGCAAGGCCAATGTGCAGAACCATAACAGCACGGAATTTTAACTTTTTTTTCTCATTAAAAATCCCAGTGAGTGGTTTTGGCAAATGCATTGGAGAAGCAGACGGTGAGGATTCTGACAATAATTGGTGCTTGCAATGACATTCATAAACCATGGGCGGCTGCGAGTGATGTACAACCTCCAGGCCCTTGCACGCAGAGCGCCTTTACATTTGTGACGAAGTCTGAGGTGCGAGATGATCCAAGGAAGAGTTTTAAACCTTGAAACAAAACCCCAATGTATACGTGTAACAGAGTGCATTTGTTGTTGTACATTAAAGGCACACACTGCAGAAGAACCTCACATGACAATCAGGGCTGTATAAGTGTGGATAGAGGTAGCGCCGGATTATCCTTGGAGCAAAAGTAGCTACATAATGCTACGGGCCCCGCACTTTCAAGGTCCCCGCGCTAAATGCTTTCCAGCTATCAATTCCGGTTCAGTGATTCTGCACTTGCTCTATCACTATAGTACTATACCGCCTTCAACTTTTATGAACGACTGGGTGTTAAAGGTTAACGATTTGTCGTATTATCTGACTGTACAGCCAATTAAAAAAATACAATTACTTTACTATGCAAGTTAAAAATGAGTGTTTAAATATTATTTATATTTTAATTTTGTATTTGGGGCCCCTTAATAACCTGTGGTACAGGCCCCGCGCTAGCTTAATCCGGCACTGGATAGATGATGTGTATATGTGTGTGTGTGTAGCCTAGATAGTGTAGATAGTACAGCGGGGGTGGAGAGAGAGAGAGATTGTTGACTTAAAGCTTTCGTGACTGCAGGAATTAATATTCTTTGGGTTTTTCGGTACATTAACAAAACTAATCTCTCATAATTAACATAACCACCTCAGCACGCTCGCCGTGGAGGCCGCTCACCGATCTCACAGCAACATGCACATTTCTTTTTACCTGACAGCCCTTCAATTGGTGGAAACCCACCGCCATTAACATTAGCTGCACATCACTAACATTAACATTGGCTGCACAGCACTAACATTAACATTGGCTGCACGGCACTAACATTAACATTGGCTGCACATCACTAACATTAACATTGGCTGCACATCACTAACATTAACATTGGCTGCACATCACTAACATTAACATTGGCTGCACATCACTAACATTAACATTGGCTGCACGGCACTAACATTAACATTGGCTGCACATCACTAACATTAACATTGGCTGCACATCACTAACATTAACATTGGCTGCACAGCACTAACATTAACATTGGCTGCACAGCACTAACATTAACATTAGCTGCACATCACTAACAGTAACATTAGCTGCACATCACTAACATCAACATTAGCTGCCCACCACTTACAGTAACATTAGCTGCACATCACTAACATCAACATTAGCTGCACATCACTAACAGTAACATTAGCTGCACATCACTAACATCAACATTAGCTGCCCACCACTTACAGTAACATTGGCTGCACATCACTAACAGTAACATTAGCTGCCCACCACTTACAGTAACATTAGCTGCACCTCACTAACATTAACATTAGCTGCACATCACTAACATTAACATTAGCTGCCCACCACTTACAGTAACATTAGCTGCACATCACTAACAGTAACATTAGCTGCCCACCACTAACATTAACATTAACTGCACATCACTAACATTAACATTAGCTGCACATCACTAACATTAACATTAGCTGCACATCACTAACATTAGCTGCACATCACTAACATTAGCTGCCCCACCCATGCTGCTGACACTTGGGCTACGCCCATTTTAAACCTTTATAAACAGTTTTCCTTGAGAAGCTAACCCCCTTTTCCTGATGACGACCGCTTGTGTTGCGATCGAAACGTCGTAGTTTTTTGTGATTTTTCTTTGAACATATCTACGTGACTTTACCGACAGACCCAAACAATATAGGGAGATTGTTGTGCGGGCGAAACGGAGGACCCTGCATAAGCATTATCTGTCTTGTTGCAGAATGCGTTCGTTATGAGCGATCTGAGCAATGTCTCACGTATATAAAAGAATAATGTATGAATGCAATTTAAAACTATAATAAGAGCCTCTTGTCAATGAACTGGCTGGTTGATGGGAGGTCCCCATGACATTTCTTTTAATAACGTATCCCTAATACTTCCTGTCCGCATCCTTAAAACCTTGACCATCATCCTCCTCCTTCCCCTTCCTAACCTCTCCCTATCATCACCCTTCTTTGCCATCCCTTCCCCTCCCCGACACTCAAACCCCATCCCCTTTTCCCTATCAGCCAATACTAATGTACAATTTATAATTCGTGTAGATACGATAAGATGCCATGTCAATCATGGGAGTTGTATGACCATACTTCACCTTTCTGGGTCAGTGCGGGTTGGAAAACGAACACCGCCTCGGATGTCTCCATACCTGTCAACCCCCTTATCAGTGCCTAACTTATTACAGACTAATTGGGATCTCATTGATCACCCCGTGCACACTTATCTCAACGTTCATCCTACAAAGTCGCATCACAAGGGATACACACACACACAAAATAGACAACAACAAAAAACCAGCATGTTTCTGTGCCCCGTATTGAATCGGCTGTAACGCCGTATGGACCTGCAAGCTCAACTTCCCTGCACAGGAATACGGGTGAACGGTGCGGGGTTGACCCGCTGTGCCTCTCTCGCCCACGTGACGTTACCTACGGCCAGGCTGAGTGGTGATGGGGGGAAGGTAGTCGACCAGAGCTCGCAACGTTTAATAATAACGATGATAATAAAGCGTAGAGAAGACCTCCCCCCACCCACCCCATTAAATAAGTGCAATGCACGCATGCGTTGTGGTTATAACGTTTTCTGCCTTCACACTTGACCGAGAGTGAAATAAATAACGCGCGCGAGATTGCGCACGGAAGAGCATCCACAATCGTCGTCGTCGTCTCTTTCCACGTTTCACGCCGAGCAGCAGCAGGAGCAGGAGCAGCAGCAGGAGCAGGAGCAGCAGCAGCAGCAGCCTCCCTCCAAGCTCCATTGGCCGGTGCTTTTAAATTGATGCAGTTTTTTCAGAGGTTTTTTATGTATTATTTTAAATTATGATTCAGTATTAGAGACAAAAAAAGCAATATACGTAATGACGTGCCATTAAAGTGTCCCTACCCTTTAAGTCTAATGAGCGTACACTGATACCATCGAATTATGTCAGTGATGTTCGGCAAAACGATATTAATGGTGATCCATTTATAGACGCCCCATTCTAGGATTTTTAATTATGGGGGGGGGGGGGGCAGGCACGATAGAGAAAACAGCATTTTATATAAATGCCTCTACGTGTCTCCGACCGATCTCAATGCACTCATTAAAGGTTTTAACACGCTCCTCTCTAACACTTGGAGCCATCAATTTCACGATATTCCTTCATCTATTGAGACGAAAGCATGTGGGGCCATTAGACATCGATGTGGTATCTGTAAATGGACCATTGTGTACAGCAACATAAATGCATTTCATACATTATTCTTTATGATTATTACTGGATTGTGTTGTTAGTGTACCTTTGTACACTACGAAATTGAACGAGATTTCTCAACAAATTCCACTTGTCTATGTGTGTAAAAACTAAATTCTTTTTTTTATTATAACCTTCGAGTCAGCTTTATTTTCAAACATTTTGCTCAAACTGTTTACATTGAATACATGTATATCATCAAATGTAAAATAAACAGCTGGTGGAAATTCACACGACAAATTCATACTCACAAACGGTCAATCGGGAATGTTTAAACACTAACTCGAATGCATAGAGCAGTCATGATAACAACGTGTAAGTTAGCGCTTTTGCATACATCATATTTAATTTGGGCAGTCTCAGCCTCACGTTAATTTATTATGCCGCTGCTGCACCATTTTATCTCTCTGTGAAACCCCGGTATACAGTGTATGCTTCCCAAAGGCTCTATTTTACATTTATATGAAAGCACAAGAATAGAATAGCATTGCATAACAAGTTAATGCTCAGGATCCTCGCTCTCGTTTTAAGGTACTTTTAAGTTCATGAATAGGTGCGGTAAAAGGCAAAAAGTACCCCTGGGGACGCTATGGACCTCTTAGTCAAAAGGGTAATTTCCAAGTCGAACATTTTTAGACTAAGGGCCTACGCTTGGCTTAGCTGTTGTCACAAATTTAACATCAATTCAGCGTAACCTGATCACTAGTGGTCTCAACATAGTATTTGCTAACCTGTTGTGGCGGCAGATAGTGAGACCAGTGGGGTTTTGTTTAACTCATTTGGAAAATATTAGGCAATCTAAGATTAACTGCACGAGTTTGATATATCACTGTGTTAGGCACAGTCATATAAAATTGGAACTTTATATAAGTGAAAATCTGTGCCACTTTTAACTATTTGGTAAACAGTTATTCTCTACTTTAGTTTAACACGTAGGGTTTTGCGACCAATATCATCCATAATGCAGGTTTTTTTATTAGATTGTGTAAATATGAATGTGCCGTTAAACCCGCCACCACCCGACACAGCCAATTAGT